TTTTTGACGCCGCCACCACAGTTTGTCCTTCATGAGCCTTCGTAGACAAGATATCGGTGCAAGATGGCGGCTGCCTGTAGTGGCAACCCGCGACCATGGAGATATAAACAGCTTTTTATAAGGTAAAAATAATAAAGCAAGGTCTTTGTCTGCAATGATTAGACATGTTTTCTATTATTGTCATTAGTGATTATCTCAATTTCGGATAAAAGAATTGACAAAATCCTACACACTGTACCTTTGATAAAACAAGTTAAGACAGTGAAAATGGAAACAAAAAGTGCTAAATTCTAACCTGAGAATTTCCAGTTTACAGTGTAAACATTTCAGTCCGACACACAGAAGCTTCACTCCCGAATCGTTCAAGTTGTTGTTGCTCAAGTCCAGTTGTCTCAAACTAAAACACTGGGAGCCAAGAACTGAAGATAGGGCTTCACAACTTCCCTCTGAGATGTTACAGCCACTCATTCTAAATGTGTTTCCAGAGACAAATAATTTAAATGTCATTTAAATTGTTTTTAAAAATAGTTTATTTAGTAATGACGAACCAAGAATGTACTTACAGAGKTTTGTTGGAGGCTTTGACCACTGGCAGCAGCTTCAGAAGAACCTCCTCTGAAGCAGAATATTTCTTCAAATCAAACACGTCCAGATCTTTTCCTGATGACAGTAAGATGAAGACCAGAGCTGACCACTGAGCAGGAGACAGTTTCTCTGTGGAGAGACTTCCTGACCTCAGAGACTGTTGGATCTCCTCCACTAGAGAACCATCATTCAGTTCATTCAGACAGTGGAACAGATTGATGCTTTTCTCTGCAGACAGAGTTTTATTGATCAGATTCTTGATGTACTGGATTGTTTCCTGATTGGTCTTTGAACTACTTCCTGTCTGTGTCAGCAGGCCTTGAAAGAACTTCTGATTGGTTTGTAGTGAAAGACCCAGGAGAAAGCGGAGGAACAAGTCCAGGTGTCCATTTGGACTCTGTAAGGCCTTGTCTATAGCATAAAGATAGAGAGACTTTACTTTTTGATTTTTGTTAAATATTTTCAAAAACCATTTTTTCTTTTTGAAAAGGTTGACTCTAGAGTTGATGAAGGTCAGATGGACATGAAGAGCAGCCAGAAACTCCTGAACACTTAGATGGACAAAACAAAACAATATTTCCTGGTGCAGCCCTGTCTCCTGTATAAAAATCTGTGTGAGTACTCCTGAGTAAACTGAGGCTTTGTTGACATCCATACCACACTCTGTCAGGTCTGATTCATAGAAGATCAGGTTTCCTTTCTGCAGCTGCTCAAAAGCTAGTTTTCCCAGAGACTCAATCATCTTTCTGGTCTCGGGACTCCAGTGTGGATCTGTCTCAGATCCTCCATCATACTTGATCTTTTTGACTTTGGCTTGAACCACCAGGAAGTGGATGTACATCTCAGTCAGGGTGTTGGGCAGCTCTCCTCCCTCTCTGGTCTTCAACACATGGTCCAGAACTGTAGCAGTGATCCAGCAGAAGACTGGGATACGACACATGATATAGATGCTTTGAGATTTCTTGATGTGGGAGATGATCCTGCTGGCCTGCTCCTCATCTCTGAATCTCTTCCTAAAATACTCCTCCTTCTGTGGGTCATTGAAGCCTCTGACCTCTGTCACCATGCCAACACTGTCAGCTGGTATCTGATTGGCTGCTGCAGGTCGTGTAGTTATCCAGAGGCGAGCAAAGGGAAGCAGGTTCCCCCTGATGAGGTTTGTCAGCAGAACATCCACTGAGTTGGACTCTGTYYCATCAGTCAGGACCTGGTTCCTCTGGAAGTCCAGAGGAAGTCGACACTCATCCAGACCATCAAAGATGAAGACCAGCTGGAAGTCTTCAAATCTGCACATTTCTTTGGTTTCAGTAAAGAAGTGATGAACGAGTTCCACCAAGCTGAACTTTTTCTCTTTCAGCACATTCAGCTCTCTGAAAGTGAATGGAAACAGGAAGTGGATGTCCTGGTTMGTTRTGTCTTCAGCCCAGTCCAGAGTGAACTTCTGTGTTAAGACTGTTTTCCCAATGCCAGCCACTCCCTTTGTCATCACTGTTCTGATTGGTTCATGTCTTCCAGGTGGGAGTTTAAAGATGTCTTCATGTGTGATGGTTCTTTCTATGTCTGCTTTCTTGGGTGCTCTTTCAATCTGTGTGATCTCATGTTCACAATTTTCCTCTCCAGTCCCTCCCTCAATGATGTAGAGCTCTGCATAGATCTGATTCAGAAGGGTTGGGTTTCCCGCTTTTGCAATACCTTCAGACACATATTGATACTTCTTCTTCAGATAAGGTTTAAGTTTATCCCAGCATGAAAAATGTGGTTCTGAAAAAAAAAACATATAAGAGACTTTTTCAAACACAAGTAATGCCAGCTAGGGCTGTCCAATAAATCAATAACAATACATCCCAACAGACATGTGAACAATTTCAATAGAAATTATGTCACGTATATGTTTATGATATCAATGAACTTCGATCCAGAACCTACATCATTCAGGGGGATGTAGGCAGAAGAAATGCTTTAGCCTCTCGACCGCTCATGGTCCAGCTAATCAAGTTTGGTGGCATCAACTAATTCAGTTTTTTTGTAAGCTAGCAATACCTAACCCCCAACTGCTACCTGGGTGCTTACATAGCTGCCTGCTGCTCCATTTGTGTGTTTCTCACATGTGATGGGTCAAATGCATTAGAGCACAAATTTCATCATTGTATGGGGACATGCACTGATGATGAACTAGATACCGCATAGCGGTAACATAATGACACCCGCACGCACAAATGC